AATGAGGAACACAACCAAAAAAGAATTAGTGAAATCGGCGAAGCCGTTTTATGATTCTATGAAGGACACACACATACATTCATTCTGATATTATATAGATAAGAATCAATATCAAAGGCTCCTTATTTGCTTGAAACATAGAAGAATGATCTGAGATAGGAATTTGATATTTTTTATATGAAAGTTCTATCACGAAAACCGTGAGGTTCTTGCTGAATTCAATCTGTGATTTTCTGATAGTTTATAATATTGTTTATCATCAGCATAAGTATGATTCTTGGTTGGTCGGACACCCTGTATATATTTTGGAATGAGTTCTTCGTAGGGGCCATGCATGACGACGATAATAAGATTCCTTATCGCCTGCCCGGGACATGGATGAATGTTCATCCCGTATGAGGATAGGAAATTATTATTCTATGTGAAAATTCGATATAGTATAAGAATGTTTGCTCTTCTACCCCGTACTGCCTGGAAAACTATTTATCGAGTGTCAAAAAGATATCCAATTTTAGAGACAGAGGGCGAGGGAAGATTTGTGATGGGAAATAGCAGAGGCGTATTCAGGGAATTTTGTACGGAATAGGAAGAATACATTATCATCTTCCTTCAATTCATCGGGAAGGAATTGCAACAGAAAACAACTATTTTCCTGGCTATATCCCACGACATAACATGTAAATATATCTATTGAACACACAATAAGAATTTGAAAATAAAATCTTCTGAAATTGAGAATTTGCATTCTCCTTCAGATAAAAATATGTATAAGCACATAATCATTCTGAATATTCAACAGGAAATACTCACTTTCCTGGCTATTTGCCACGTCGAACATCAAATTATATCTGTTGAACATCCAAAAGGAGAGCATGAACAATAAAAATCCTCTGAAATTGAGAAATTACATTTTCTCTCAAATCAGATAAATAATATGATGTATTATGATATAAATATATAATTTACCAATATGTTAAGTATTGAAATGAAAATAGAAATGTATAGGAGAGGTATACTTGTATAAACTCTGAGCTTGAAACATCCTAATAAATTATTCGTATCAATGATATGGGAATTATTTATCTCTCAAACAGGTTATATAAGATTATTCGAATGAACTCATTTCGGATGCCAAACCCTCCTCAATTCAGAATTTCTTTCCACGTCCTGTATGATGAATATCAATTTGTCATACATCCAAAAACATAATCCATATTGCTTGCAAAATGGGGTTAAATACATAAAAACATTGACTTATGTCGGGAATTTTTGGAAAAAATATAAATTTTTTCAAAGATACCTTCACGGAAAATATTCTTCAGAAATCTCTGCTATGATTCCACAACTAGCAATACCAGTCAGACAAACCCGATAAGCGCAGTCAGCACATCCTTCATTTGTCAACCTCGAAATATGTCGAACAGCACTATATCAAAACTCGTTTATTTATAGAACAGCAAAGCTCTGGAATTCATTGCCTGAGGAAGTATTTCCACGAACTTACACCTACCTCCTCTCCTTATTCTCCCTAGGTTCGCACGATGTTCTTCGAAAATTATAGGGATTTCCTTTCGTGCCCACCAAGCGATAAAAAAAACTTTCCCGCTAGCGAATTTTCTCCAGTTAAAGTCTCGACCCTAGCGTATCGCTCTGTAGATTCAATGAATATTTTGGCGAAGGGGATGAAGCCACCAACACCACCACCCCGTATCGCATACGCTCTGGGGAATAGCGATGACGATGACGACGGGTAAGATATGACACGGGACGTTGAAATGGACGGAAGGCCAATAACTCGAGCCGTCGTCACGTGGCCATCTCGGCCGTAATCCACTTGGGTCCGACACTTCTCGAATCTCTACTTTTTGCCCTAACGTCACTAGTAATTTACTATCTGGTTTGATTGCTATTTATGACGCGCCGGACTTACTAGTTTTTCAATAAAGTTTTCGCGCCGAGTGACATACACACGTTATGGACCATGTTATATATCTGGGCCTGATGGTTTCTTGATTTAGATCAGAGTTGTGCGGGCGATATTCGGGGTAGAGTTTGTACGTCCATTAACATTTTCTGGGAATCGAGACTTCAGAACCAGATTTTAGAAATTTGTTTAACCCTGGAGCCGCAAATTCTATTTTCTTTCAAAATTTCGAAGATGCCGAGATTTTTATATTCCTGATCTCCTCAGTTCACGATGAAGTTAACGAAAATGAATTATAAATCACAGAAATATAAAAATCCTACAATGGCCTTTCTAAACTGCTCAACACATGAAACGTAAAATCGCATTTTTTCGATCAAATCATAAATTTCGATTTCCTCAACCGATTTTCAATTATTTTTCAGTTTCTGGAAGCTCGTTTCATTGACTATCGAACCTATGGATATGAATGATCCATCTTCTCCGGATGAGATTCTACAGGATGTTAATCAAAGCTGTGCATTTTTCCTAAAATTTCAGATGCCTCCCGTTTGGAAGAAAATATAAAAATATTATCATGGCGTTTTAGGAACATCTGCAAATCTGATTGTATATGCCAAACCTGAGGTAAAATTCTATCTCTGTGCCAGGTGGCAATTTATTAAGTTCCACCACCCTATAACTCATTTAGTTCTGACAGTAGGAAAAAAAATCAGCCTCACAGGGTATTTTCTCCTTCTCGAATCAATACATACATTCTCACTATCGGGAAAAATATACAGGGAGGAGAAAAAAGTGTCTGCATTTCACATTGAACACCCTATACATTTCCTCACCATTAGGTCAGCTTCCAAAACTAACAGAGTTTGATCGATTTTGAATGATGTCTGATAGTAGGCCATGACAATGATAACAAATATTGATTTTCAGTGATCACCCCCAATGAGAATTAAATGTTAAAGGACATAGCGAATGAACCTAGATTTGCAATCATAATCATCACCTTCTTTCGAAAATCGTTCAATAATCGATCAAGCTCTGTAAGTTTTGGATGCTCATAAAAGTCATTGGGAAATCGTGCAGATAAATGAATTGAGTAGCGCATTTTTTGAAAGTTCTTCGAATGGTAAAGAAATATATAGGGTGTTCTATTCAAATTGAATACACTTTTTGCTGCTCCCTCCATATAGTGAAATTGTATATTCCCATTCAGGAACTGAACAAAATCCTCTGTGAGGCAGTTTTTTTGTCAAAAATAAAAGAGTTATATTGGATGATGCTTCATAACGTGTCACACGGTACAGGTTCAAATTGGTGTCTCAGTTATCAGTTGCTAAGGCAGTCAAGGTGCACAATTTGAATTCATATTTTGAAATTGCAGAATCGTTCTAATTTTTCATGATTATCTGAGCATAAGTGAAAAGTCTGATTTTTCAAATTGAAAAATGTTTGTAATACGAATCGAAATTTCTCATCATGGATTTGTGAGGACATCCTGTACGAAACATGGCCGTTAAACCCTCGCAAGATTCGATTAACTTCGATTCCCCGAAGTCAGCTGGAAAAACCAGCAACACATTTTCTTTGAATATATAAATTCACTCGAGCATATTATATGAATCCACCGATACAAATGAAATCAGGTATGAGATTTTCGCTTCTTGTTTCTGAGAGATGTGGTCTCTGCTGCCGAAGCGGATTTACTCCCGCCCTCTTGAGAGTTTTGTCAGTATAGGGCACACAGAAATGTAATATTTTTTGCTGGGCATTACTTCTGCAGTTTCAGATTAAACTTGCTCGATCGATATTCGGTTCACTTCAGATTTCCGCTGACATTCCGGACCACACGAAGATATATGTAAAAATGTTCTTCAGTCTACTATCTATATATTAGTATATTATGTAACAAGTGTCATAAACTTCCGTTTAGTAGAGAGTTTTTCATAAACGAGTGTCTAGAAGAGAGTTTATAAACGCATTACATACTATAATTTTTTTACGCTCTCTTCGACAAGCCTCCATAATCCCAAAAATTAGCCTTGCCTAACACTATGCAACTGTATACAATCAACGAGACATGCAACTGATGTTGGTTATAGATATGTCCAGCTCACTGGATACATAGATTTCATTTGAAATGGCTTGTTTACTTACTTTAGTCTGTGAATAAAATGTGTTCATCTGGCGTAGAAGATAAAAACTCTTCGATTTGCCGATGTGCGTTTCAGAAATGCAGACAACTTTGAGAATTTGTTCACATTAATATTGTTTACGTTAATAATTGTCATCCTTAGCATATAATAAATTGGTCACAAAGATGAGAGCTTCATTTTTCCATTGAGTTCTTGGAAACATGCAACTTTAACATTCTCTCTAATTTCACTTCCACTTTCGTTTGCAACCATTTTGGATGAAAAATTCTGATACATACAAAAATTGTTTGAATAATTCTGATTTGCCACGGATTGCAACAAAATTCGAAATTGACTGAATTGAGAATTAACAGGAAGGACAGAACTCAAATGACTGAAAACGTGTTGTGTTGTCATGGTGATGTATTTAAGAAACTGTGCTGCTATAGTAACGTGTTCAATTCCTTGAATGAATCACAGAGTGTCAATCTGTGATTAATCGATCATTTAGCGGGGTAGGTGTCCGTACGCTTACGGCTACTTTATAGTTATGTGAATAGAAAAAATCAATTATGTTATGGAAATTGACCGTCGACTTTGACCCCAATCGTTCAGCCCTGAGTTGTTTGAATATGTTCTGTTAAGTCATTACTAAAGTCACAATTTATAATTGAACAGTTATATGAGAGTATAAGCATATCAATCACGAAATAAATCAGTTGATGAACGAAGACTCAGGTCCAAACGATTCACTTTGACATGGTGTTCATTGAATTAAAACCTTTCTCTGAACCGTATAATAATTAGGTTAGAACATCGCCAATATCGAAAATCACACTCTCTGTTAATTTTTTGAGAATAACCTGGGAGATACTATTGACTCAGCTTACCTTCATTTCAGGCTTTTCAAAATATTCCCATGGTATTTTGGGTATATTTTTATACTTAAAATTTTTTTGTTGCAGATGTGGTGGCTGCGTTTGAACCAGATTTCCTGTACCCCCTGGAAAATTTGACAGTGGCCCAAGGCCGTGATGCAACATTCACTTGCATCGTCAATAATCTGGGTGGATATAGGGTGAGTGGGGATCTCACCACTGCAAGGGTGTGTATTTACTTTCTATATTATAACCATATGCACCGATGGCGGTCTGGAGATAAGTGCGGGTCCATTCTTATAAAATTCGATGAATTCGTTACTGGGTCCATTGTCGTTAATTCATGAATCTGCTGATGAGTCTAGAGATTATTTTCCACCACTTATCCTACCATTACTTCTCTACCAAGGTAGTCTCTCTATTTCACTATCTTGTGGTTAATGGATCATAGCAACCTATTATTAACATGAATTCACATTGCAGTTCAGACATGTTCTGAAAAAAAATATGGAATATAGAAAATATCAGACACACTTTTCAGTAATTGTACAAAACTGGAACTGGGATTTTTGAGATACCCCACCCTGTATATATTTCATCTCAGATGTTATCACTGACAAAATCATGCCCACCATATCTTTTTATCCGTTTTATTCCCCGGAAACCGTGAAGTTGACTTGAGATGAAATTTAAGCAACCATTTATACCGAAACAATGTTTCGCTCAAAGATTATTCCTAAGATGATTTTTTAAGGATGGATCTGTGCTTTATCTCACTCTTGCACCGTCTTACCAAGAGCACTGCACTCTGCACTGCACCTTCGGCACCAGCACGTCAGGAATGGAGCACCTTTGCACACAAAAATCAACCAAACCAGCCAAAAGATCGAACTCGACCGTCAACTCACTGTTTCAAATATCAAAGCAAAGTACAGTAGTTGAACCCAGATAGCACATAGTGATTCTAAAAACGTTCTTAGAATATTCTAATGAAACATTTCGAATATTCTTATAAGGTGCAATGAACGTTCTGAGAATATTCTAAGATCATGCAGATGAGACAAAAATGCACGTTCCAAGAACGTACTCATGGCAGTTTTCAGAATATCATCAGAACATTCTATGAATATAAAGAACATCCTCAGAATGATTCAGGAATATTCTCAGTAAACTAGGTATCTTGAAGAGCATGAAAAATATTTCTTAATTGTGTTTTGCAGAAGTGACTATAAGGGTGATATTTAGTTGACAGACTTTGAAAAAACATCACCCCAAAAATGGTTCAAACATAATACAGATAACATCATACACGCATCATGGGTGCTTCAAGAATATCACGATGTGTGGATGTGAAAGCATATTTAGTTTCATCTTCCCTGATGTGTAGAAAGAAAATAATTGTATAAAATAGCGGTAAATTTGATTCCACATTAGACCACATTTCTACCGCGCAGATGAGCAGGGCAAGTTTCATCAAATTCAGCGAAAAATAATTTGAATAATCAATAAAAAATAAATTTTGGTTGGGAAATTTGACTGCCTCTATTCCAAAAACGATGCAAGTTAGGATATATGTTTATGGAAAAAATGTTTTTCTCTCTTCCTCAGAGATAATAGATTCTATGAACATACCTAGAATATTCTAACAATACATTTTATGATCATTCCTGAATAACATCCATAGAATATAATAGAATATTTCAGGAAATTTGGATATTTATATGAAATGTTCTATGTATATTCTCGTATATCATATGAACATTCAGAACATCCCCGTCATATTCTATGAATATTCTTCGGAATATTCTGAAGGAGGTTTGTTGTGAACATTATTAAAACATTCATAGATCATGTGCTCTCTGGGAAGTTTGTTTGATTATTATTCTCAGCAGAGCCAACTTGAGAAAACCTCAACGATCTTGATATTTTTCATATAATATCGGCATATTTGTCTGCGAAAAATTTAATCACTACATTACTTCTCATCCCTGAGATGAATTTCAGGAATTCGCATTTTTAATCTTAAGGAGTTGTGTATTATACTATGGTATGATAAACACAAAATATCTCAGGAATTTTAATTGCGCATACAGTTTGGTACAGATTCCAGGATCGGACCTCTACTTTATAGGAAAATATGGACATCGTCTGAGCCAAACTCGCAATAATAACGGGATTCCACCAAACATCTTCAGAATATTTAGTCCATACACATTCATCTCAATGTATTTGAAAAATTCAAATAACACCGTTATTCTAATAACTTGTTCAAATAATCACGATAATAGGTAGATTTCCTGTTCGTCATTCATTGTTCAACACGATTTGTTTTATTATAAAAAATCATTTTAACATCTCTTAATACATGTTATATCATCTTTGCGAACGGTTGACACGAACAGTATTAGTGAAAAACATTTTGATTCAATAAATACTTCGGTGGTTACTGAATACATCAAATATTTTGTGTCCAAATGATAATTGTGTTCATAATGAAAAATTAACTGTTTACGAAAACTCCGGACCACAAAGATTCTTTGTTAAAGTTGTCACGTATATAATTAACTTTGTTTACATTTAATATGATCCAAAAATAACAAAGCAATTTTTCTGGGAGTTGTTGGGTTGAATATCAATTGGACATGTTACAAGAGGAAAAACTTGTAGTTTGAAATTATTCTGTACTATGTAACTATTAGTCATAACGTCTAACAACAATTCATGTAGTTCATTCGAACGCCAAATTACAAATTGAAAACAAGTAACTCACATTCTACAAGTATACCGGGTGACATCGAAATCAGTAAAAAAAATTAACAGAAAAAAATATTTAATAGACATCAGCTGATCAACATATCCTGCGATCCTTTATGTCCGATCCAAATGTCAACAGTCTAACATAAAAAACAACTGAACGACGTCCTGTCCAATGATTTCGTTCTCATCCGGTATAACCTATATATAGGAAGAACAAAAGAAAAGAACGAGAAAAAGAGATATAATATATTCAAAATTTAGCTCAGATGGGATTCATACCTAAAAAAATATAATTCGCAGTTCTTTTAACAAACTGAATAATACATTTCACATAGTATACCTATCCGATTGATTCCAGAATGAAAAACAAAGCTAGTCATATTTTGTTATCGAAAAGTAGTGTTTTCATGATTCTCTTCGAATCATCCAGTAGTTATAAACCCCCTTTTCACTGAAATATTATAAATAAATAAAATATATTCTTCGATATCGTACATACATCGTAAAAATTGCAGGATTGGAGTCAACAAAGCATTGCAAACAACAAAACATGATAGTCAGTGCTGGTATGATCTAATATACATATCTAGTATTGGTCCATCACTGGATATTAATCTACAAATGCAAACAAAAATTATCAAGCTTTTTTTATCAAGTCGATGAAAATATTCAGAATGACATGGTTTCGTGTCATCATCTCATAATCCTTCTTCACTGTGCATATGTTGCGATAATACGCCAAAACATTTCGCTCAAAATAACCGACAATGAAAATTTAAAACCCGCATATTACACCACGAAGTAGAATAAGATAGAACAGGTGTTTCTTCGTGAAACCGTCGAGAACCCATTTCTCCATAATTGAAACAAGTTGTTGAGTATCTATAAAGGCTTCTTCACGAGCTATAAATATCACATTCGTATGTTGAATAAATGATACTCTATAGACTGCATAGAATAATTACAGATCGAATTACTCAACTATCCATACCTTGTAAGTAAACATAAACTCTTTCATTCGCGCATCTTTTATTTACTCATTTATTTATTTTAGGAAAACAATTTATTACTGTAGTCGAAAGATTGATCTCCTGAAGAAAAATTCAAGCCTATGGAAAAAAATAAAAATGCGTAGGTAGGTACATCGTCAAAAAGCAGTATAATGATTATGAACCAATTTTCATCATCATTCATCACTGTATAACACTTGAAATAATGTTTGTCTCTTCGAATGTTGAAATATTTTCACTACTATTCAAAGGGGATTGTTTTATTGATTCAACTTCTCGGAATATTTTGACGATCCGACAGTTCGAAAAGTCATTGCTCGTGGCTTGGTTGACTCTACGCCACTGTGTTATAGTCGAATATGGCGGCCAAAGACGGCTATTACTTGAGGATACGGAATGTAGCGAGTGAAACATTCAGGAACATTAGTTTAACTTTAATTTATAACCTAAAGTGTATAAATTGTCTAGCTCTCTGGGATCTGCAGCAGTTTCGCCCTTTTTTGTAGGCTATCTAATCCAAGAATGATGGTTCGGTTCGAAATATGAATGCCAATGGGATGCTTACATCAGGCATTCAAATGAATTATTCTTATACAGATGATGAATTTTAATACGAATTATTTTTCCTATAAATGAAACCAGTTGAAATGTACTTTCTCAAAGTGTAACATGAATATTTCTTTCGGTTTTGACGGATGAAATCCTTTGCACTGATAAATTTCCTTCGTATAGTCATCAATCAATGATAGGTATCTAGTATTGAGTTTGACATCAGGCACCAGTTGCAAAAGAATACCACTGTTCACAACTAAGTCGTTTGAAAAAACTTTTGTGAGTTTTGAATAGTGACAAAAAACATACTTTGAAAACTAAAAATTATTTCTAAATTTCAAGATTCTAGATTGAAGTCATATCTGCGTCAGATAATTAATTCCCTCGAAATTTGTATCATTAGTTTCCGGGGAATATTTTTCCAATTTCACAGGAAAATACATAAGCTTTCATCTTTTAATACGTCAGGGACAACTGGCTGGTATTTCGCAATTAATTTTTCAAGGTTAAGCCCCAAGACTCCAACAGCCTCTGAAGAGAAGTCGACTAGTGGAATTAAATTTAATATTCCAGGTAAATGTTCCTCCAAAGAATGTATACGATATTGAAGTAACATAATATCGTTTCGCGAAATCTTATTAAGACGATATGTATGTACGATATGAGTACCATAAAGTACTTCTATGATATATATTATACTGGCAGAAAATTTCATTATGATTTAGTGGATTATTGGAACACAACTTTCAGTGAAACAAAAATGTTAAACTGAAATACATTTTGTCACTCATTACAAAAGCTCAATTTCTAGACGAATGGAGAACAGTTTTTTTTTAATCTCGCTCAGTTTTCAATATACAATGTGTTCAAATTTTGTTTTTCTTTCGACTTTTCGAATTTATTCCAGA